ACAAGACTGCAACACAGATCGCCAGTGATGTCGCTAAAGAATTGAGCAGCGAGAAGGCGGGGCTCAGGGCGAGGCAGCATGTGAAGCACTTCACGCGTTCGTGCCAGACAGGCTCATAGTGTGGGATCCTGTTGCTGAATAAGCTCTGGGTCACAGGCTCTGTTGAAGATGCGCTCCACGACATCGTTTGCATCGAACCGGCCTCGACAAGCAGAGGCCAGGCCGGGAGAAGAATGCCTAGGCTAGCCAAGGCCCCTGTGCACTTCTAAGTGCTCTGGCAGGCACCAGACAAATGTGAAATCAGGATCCTTGGGTATACCAACCTAAACTATTGCCAAGATCTACCAAACATGCATCCGTTCAACTCCTAGTTGAATTATATTATTGGAGGGCTACCACGACGATTTCTTGTCTCTGCTTCGCCACAATGTCAGCAGGCTACGTCTTTGAGTATGCTCATAAAACCCAGGCCAGACATAGCCAACACCAGTCACTTATCCAAAAGAAGATGCGACATGGGATTCCTTATGCTAGGTGGGTTGGGTTGGTGAACCGGATATGCTGCGCATTCCTCTGATGCGTACTTTGGTCAGGGGGCGGATGACACGCTGATCTTTGACACTTGGATTTTGTCGTCTTCCGTGGTGGTCTCTTTCGTTTGGATTGAATGTGTTTTGGTGTTACAAGGGGGCATCCCTCATGTTTCGGGTTTGTTGAGGGCAGAGAGTAAAACAGACTTGCTGCTTTCTGAAGTTGCCAAGGTGGATGTGCACGGTTCTGATGAGCTTGGCAACATGCACTTTTAAACCAAAGTATGACAAGATCCATGCCTTGATTTCCTGAGTATTCGCCGTATGGACAGCAAACATGGGTGCCCCTTTGCTCGTACCCTTGACGAGGCTTCAGCTAGATGGCTAGATCTCAGAATTGCAAACAGTACGGCCGCGGGCGCTTAGAGAGGCATAGAAAGCCTCGAAACATGCCAAGTCCTGGATGACCCGGCGGGGCAGTTCATGTCCGATCTTCAATCCAAGCATAGCAGGTCCAAGTCGACTTTCAGTACCAAGTCCAAATGTACTGTGTTCGCTTTCTATGCTGTACTGTTCCACTGTGTCCTGCTTCTTGATAAGGTACCTGGAACCCCCGAGACGAGCGCAGAGGACCTGCCAGCCACGTTTGGGTCGAGGGATCTGGGGCATGTCTGCGCAATGATCATTGCGTTCGGTCGCTGGCGTCAGGTGAGAATTCCAGATGGCATTGGCTCTCGGCTCGCTATGTTCTCCGCAAGAGTCGACCGCGAACCGATGGTCACGCAGATGCGGGCCGTGCAGGAGTTCTTGACCCTGCACAACTACGAGGTATTGATGGTGGACACAGATGCGGGAGCTGATGTCGGAGAATATACGATATCATGCCTGGGCAGGATACAGAGGGAACGCGGAGTCATCCTGGCACTGTGCACCTGGGATTACGCTGAAGTGACAGGATCACGGTATTCTTCCTACAGGCATCTTCGCTTTGCGCTAGACAACAAGATCGACGTGCTCCCGCTACGAGTAGAGGAGACCTACCCTCCAGAGCCACCCTTTGGTGAAGATCATCCTTGTGATCAATTCGGGCTGGGCCAGGCCCTTGTCCAGATGAAGCTGCCACCATCGCTTGTCCCTCTGGACTGCCGGGGGAGGACTGCATTGCAGATCGCTAGCGATGTCGCTGAGAGGCTGAGCATCGAGAAGGCAGGGCTCACGGTGAGGCACATGCCTAGCACTTCAAACGTTCGTGCCAGAAGGGCTCATGATGCGGGAGTCTGTTGCTGAATAAGCTCTGCATAGCTCTGCACAGTGCGTGTCTTGTTGCTCTATGTCACAGGCCCTGCGGGGTGGCCTGCCAGGTACAGGAAGTGGGTTCCGTGAGCGCTGTACATGTCTTGAGCTGTGTTTTGTTGCTTCATGGAGTGATGCACGTCTGATGCACTTGGAGCTTGCTCGTTCGGATAGTGATGCCTCAAGGTTGTGTTTGAGATGTTATTTGTTGGGGAGGTTGCCCCCCAGGTGCTCTCTTCCTTGCTCGGCTTTCTTTGCGTTTGCAGCGAAGTCATGGCGGACGGGGCTTCAACCAGTTCGGAGGACAGTTCAGAAGCTCTGGATGATTTATCTAATCAGGAACTGTGGGCACGACTGCCAAGACGTTTTCGTGCAGTGTTTGGTCGTCCCGGGGGAGAGCTCCCCTGCTTATCCGTGCTTGGCTTCCTTGTCGACAGCCATCATGACGTGAGCAACCTTATGATTCAGTAGTCGGACAACAGTGGGGCCAGAGAAGAGGCATGTACACTGTGGTCGCGAGCCCAAAGTCTGGCAGCCAATGTTTGCAAGCGGAGTGCACGTGTTGATCCGGCTTGGCAAACGGTCCTGTTGGCCAAGCGTAGCCCTCCCACTTCGCTCGCTGGACTCCCTGGTCTTGACGATACTCTCTCCTGGTTGCGGCAGAAGTCTGGTGCTCGTCGTAACAAAAGACTGCAGAAAGCCCTGCGCTGCGCAGAGGGCCAATCCCGCGCAGATATCGACAAGCAAAGACTTGCCAGATGGAGACGTGAGTTGGTGGAGATCATTTTGGAAGTTAATCTTCCCATCGTTTCAAATGCACAGCGGGCGTCCTGTCCCCAGTCTGTCATCGAAGCTTCGTTAGGGTGTGCTCGTTACTCCACCATTCGGAAACGCGTTCGAGAGTAGCGGGCATTGCGGAATTTCAGCATTGGTGCTTGCGGGGCTCCCCAGCCGGCACACATTGGCGTGGTGTTAGATTATTTGCAGGAGCGTGTGGAGGAGCGCTGCGGAAGCACGATTCCAGAAACCATTTTAGCCACGCTGGCTTTCTTCGAGAAGGTGGGCTGCGTCCCTATTGCAGACCGCCTTTGCGCGGCTCCGATTTTGCGGAATATGGTCAACCAAGCCACCCATGATCTGGAGGTTGGTGCTCCGCCGACGCGCAAGGCTCCCCTGCTGCCGGTTATGCTGCTGGGCTCGTTGGAGCTCCTGGTAATCGATGAAGTAGCTTCCTTGTTTGCGCGAGGCCTCTGCTTTTACAAGCTTCTGAAGCTTTGGTCTGCTTGCAGGATGTGTGATCTCGAAGGTCTTAATCCTGCTAGCCTGCGCTTTAACCAGCTTGGCTTAGTTGGTGTCTTTGAGAAAACCAAAACCTCTGGCCCCGGCAAGCGTGTACCTCACTTGCTTATTTTCGTTAGCCACTCTGCCTACTTTATGGTGTTTGACTGGTTGAAGCCAGGTTGGCAACTGTGGTCGAGCGATGCTTTGTCATTCGGAAGGGATTTCTTCCTTCCGCTTCCCAACCACGACTGGTCAGGTGTTCGCCGGGTGATGGCAGAGTATGCAGACGTTGTTGGCTTGAGCAAGCAAGTGTTGCGCTCACTGCGTGTTCCAGTTCGGAAAGGTAATTCATGGCAGCAGTCCGAAAGGCCCCTCTTCACAGTCGAGGCTTCCCTTTCGTTCTGGAAAGAACATTCTGCCTCGCAGCTTTTGACGTGAGCAAGGATCGTCGCGACTTCGTGGGGCGGTGGCATATCTCTTCGTCGGATGAATACCTAGGTGCCGCGCAGCATGTGATTGTTTGCCTTCAAGTAAAGCTGGCCAATCACTTTTGTGGCAGCGATCGGTGGGACCTCCGCAATGCTGGATTGGAGGAACTGGAAACTTTTCTGCGTTCCAGGAATCTTCCTGATGCTGTTGTGAAACAACACTGTGACGGTCTCCGTCTGCCTGCGGGCTGGTGCCAGCGAGTGCCCGAGCCGGAGGAGCCAGTTCCCACTGCGCCGGCAGAGCATGTTGCTGGCGATGATGGCGAGGAGGATTCAGACAGTCCATACTTCGTCACGATCGTCGGCCGGCATCGTTTTCGTCGATTGCATCGACGAGGGAGATGTGGCGTTTCCATCATGGAGGTCCAAGAGTCTGCGCCTGTGTGGAATCTGAAGGGTCTGGCATACGACTTGGCCTGTCGTTACTGTTGGAAACCTGGCGAGTCCACGGTTTCCGGCGCCGAGGAGGCGGATGATTCTGGCGAATCCTGCAGCGAAGCATGTGCGTGAATAACACAAGAGTTTCGCTGCTCCAAGAAGCAGATTCCAGGTGGCTTGTCTTTCACCTCCGTGTTTCTTTAAGCATACAGACGGGGCTTTGGTGCCGTGCACCGAGCTTGCCTTTTGTCGCGTGTGCGCGATGCGTTTTGTGCGAGCTTGTCGCATGGTGTTTGCCGTAGAACTTGATTTACAGCGGCAGAGCGTTCTCTGCGGGCAGGTGCTTCCTGCCAGTGTTGGCGGATGCCAATGTTGTTTACTAATTGACGGCCGTCAATGTTGATCAATGGCAGAATCTTTCTGCGGCTCTACGCTGTGTTGAGTTAGTGAGTTGACGCGTGTTTGTCTCTAGACTCGTGTGTCGCCATGCCGGACGTGCGTGCTACTGCAGATGCGGATTTGCGCTTCCAGATGGAGGAAGCAGGCATCAGCGCAGATATTCAGAAGAAGATCTTTGCGGAGGGCTTCACATCGGTGCTTGTGTTTGCGGGCATCGAGGAGTCACGAGAAAATGTGCGCGCAGCCTTGAAATCTTCTTTCAGCCTCGATGCCAACGCCTCGATGCCAACGAGAGCCCGGCAATGCGCAAGGAGATCGCCCTGCTACTGTCTGTGTGGGAGACTTGCCGTGCGCAGCTCACCCACCAGGAAAAAAGAACAAACAAGACGCAAAGTTTGGCACTCAGAACCGGTTGGTCATGACCTCGGAATCCAGCGCCATGCGTGCGCGAGTGGAGCAAGTGTTGAAGCGGGGTTTGAAAGACCGGGAGGCTCCGAGCAAGGCTCTTGTCGCTTCCAAACTTGAGCAGGTGGGGGAGGGAGTGCCGGTGGCGGAGGATCTGCGCGACGTCGCTTCATATGAGGACGTGGAAGGCGAAGCATACAGTGGCGTCAGTGACCCGGCGTCCGCAATGCTGCGTATCCGACCAGGCGGGACCTCTACAACTCCTCCGAGCAATCCGGAGGAGCTCCGGCTTCGCCATTGCCGTATTGGTCTGGCATGGGATTTTGTGAAGCCGAGGCATTCCACAAGGGCATGGCTCCCAGACAACTGTGTGGACTGTTTCCGAGTTCTCTCTGACCATGTGTTGGGTTCTTCAGTTGCAGGTCTCCGCAGTGCATGTGGTCAAGGCCCCATGTGGTCGCTTGTGCTAAGCTATGTGCTGGAACTCCGCAAAGCAGCTTACCGCTACATTCGCGATGGCCAGTGCGCATGTCTGGATAATGCCCTCCTCAAGGCTTGCGAAGCCCCGGGTTGTGTTGAACACACACTTTGTGGTCCCCTTTACACTTGGAAAAGTCGATGTCGCACCAGACATGCCTTCTGTCCCCCGGCAGTGGCAACGCACAAAGGGGGACAAGGGCAGTGGGAAGGGCAGAGGCATGTGGGACCGCCAGTGGGGCAAGTCATCCAAGACTCCAGATGGCAAGCAGTTGTGCTTCAAGTACAACAAGCAAATCGGTTGTAACGCTACGAACTGCAAATTCGCCCACGTTTGCTGCCGCCTGCCGCTGTTTTGGGAGACATTCCTTTCAGCAGTGCCGCTTCAAGAAGGCGCTGCCGAGCCCAGCGGCTCCTACGAGCTGAACTATTTCCAGCGGCCGGGAGCCTCCTCCAGGCGTGCTGCTGCCTGAAGGCAGGGGAATGGGTTGCGCAGCACGCTGTTGGCAAGCGCAAAGGAGCTGATGCCGAAGTTCATGATGCCCCTGATTCAGAAGATCAACTCTGGAGCAACATATCTACAAGTGCATGCGAGCACGGAGACTTTGACGGCTTATACGAGTGCGAAGGAGGCGAGGGAATCCGCCTGGCCGCGGACATGGCCCTGTGCTTTCTAGTACCTTCTTAGGTAAGCGCAAAGCTTTCACAGACGGACTCGGGCTTTGCTCACCGGGTCGCTGGCCTCCCGCAGCGAGACAGGATGCGGCGTGTATCGTGTCGAGTTGACTGCCGCGCATTGGCCTTCAAATTAGCTGCGGGTCAAATTTCGGACTCACCGTTCACCGAAGAGATGCTGGCATGTGGACGCCAGCTCGTCTGGAGCGAGTTGAAGAGTGCAGGTTGTCGGCTTCCGGTGGATCATATGGTGCCAGGCCAGCCTTTCTGCCTTGCTGCTGTCGAGGAACTGTTGCGACTTGCGGGAGACTCGGACTTTGCAGCCTGCTACACAGGGAGGGACTGTTTTGCGAAGGGAGTCAGACTTGGTGTGGATGTTGACTTGCCCCGAGTCCCTGCAGTGTTCACAGCCAAGACCCGCTGGAGAGTCTACGACGAGGAAGATGCAAATGCAGGCTTGCGAGAAAACTATGTCTCAGGGAGGGATCATGCCGATGAGGTGCAGGCCCAGTTCGAGAGAGAGGCTGCGCTCGGTGCCATGTACGAGACCAGTATCGAACAAGCGAGAGCTGATCTCGGTGAGTTGTCACTGGCGTCGCTTGGGGCGATTGAGAAAAAGGACGGCAGCTATCGTGTCCTTCACGATGGCACTCATGGTCTGGCAGTTAATAGCAAGATCCGAGTGCAAGATCAGATCCGCAACCCTTCAGCAGGCGACTTGCGGTGTGCGACCCAGGCTCTACCTTCTGCTTTCTTCGTGTTGTCAGGGGATGTAGCGCGTGCGCATCGACTGGTAAAGGTAGCGCAGTGCGACTGGAAATACCAATGCTGCAGAACTGGTGCAAAAGGCGACATGGTCTGGGTCAATTGCGTAGGAACCTTCGGGATTGCTTCAGCCGCCTATCACTGATGCAGACTCATGGCGCTGGCGGGTGTCGGACGTTCGCCCTTTTACTTGTTCGGGAAGCTGGGATGGATGCAGCTCGTGTACGTGGACGATATCCTTTGGCTGGTAGGTGAAAATGTTGGTATCGAAAAGCTGATGACGGCGATCTTTAATTATTCGGCTGTGGGGCTGCCTCTGGCGTGGAAGAAGTTTGCAGGTGGTTTTGTGTGCCGTTGGGTCGGCTTTGAACTGTCGATCGCAGACAAGGCGATGGGTCTCACGGAGAAGCGGGGAAGCTGGATCATCGATTGGGTCTCCCACACCGTCGATCAGGGTCAAGTGCGGATTTCGGATTTTCGTGCAGTGTTGGGGCGACTGTCCTTCGCATTCACAGCGCTGCCCAATTATCGGCCGTTGCTCGGCCCGCTTTATGCTTGGGTGTCTGCAATGGGTGCTTTCCATACATGCCGGCTGCCGAAGCTCGTGGTGTTGTTGTTAAATTTCTTGAAGCAGTCATTGAAAGAGGTCGGCCGAAGGACGTCCGTGGGTCAGTTCCACGAGGCAGAGACCGAGATCTTCAGAACGGACGCCCGGGCTGAGGGCGACGAAATCTTCATCGGGGGCTGAGCTTTGGATAGCAGCGATCGCTCGAAGTGCAGGTGGTTCTCTGAGCGCATTGACCACAGATCAGGCAGATGGCTTTATCTGGCCGGAGAGTCGTACAGGGCAATTGCTTCACTTGAGTTGCTGGCCACGCTGGTAGGCGTTGTCCTGTTCGACCTGCCAGCAGATCGTGTCCTTGGAACCGCATATTCGGCGGGCACCGATAACCGGGGCAATACATTTGCGATTTCCAGGTTGCTCACGACAAAGTTTCCGCTGTGTGCTTTCTTGCTTGAGCTGGCCGTACAGCTCCAGATGGGTGGGACTGAGTTGCGTGTGCGATGGCTTCCACGACTCCAGAATATGGAGGCGGACCAGCTAACGAATGGTGATTTCAGTGGGTTCAGCGAGGACAAGCGCCTTCGTTTCTCACTGTCTGATTTTCGTGGCATAGTGCTCGCCGACATGTTAGAACTTG